TATCTATATATATATATACCTATCTATATATATATATAGATATGCTGTCCAGTTTAATTTATTACGTATTTTCAGTTTCACTGATCTCTTTGTTGATGTCAAGGTAAATTTGTTGTGAATGACACCAATGTTTGAGTAAAACTCCAGCAAACTGCAAACTAGTGATTCGTGATATTGGATTTTTTGCCAATATCCCATATTTCACTATCTGTTTTTTTTTTTCTTCTTAGATTTACTTACAGATAATTTGTAATTTTTCTCCTTCTGTCCTGCGCAGTTATTGCAATTAGCAGTTTGGATATCTGTATACAGTGAGCACAATCCTCACTTGTTTTCCATAAAAAATGCCTTTTATATCACTGACTTATATTTTTGGAATAGCCAATGTTTTAATCCCCCCCCCCCCATCCCTCAGTGAGGTCTAGAAGCACAAGATCTATATCCAGCCATTCAGCTAAGATACTGCTACATGGCAGTACATCTTATTTTGGCATTTGACCAATTAGATGAGCCCTTGAATGATATATTACCCACTGTAAATTAAGTTGGGAAAAAAAATTAACAAGTCAAGAAAAAAAAATTTAAAAAGCTAATTGAAAAGTTAATTAATAAGCAAAGGTAACAATTATATTTAGGTTTATAAACTAAAAAATGTAAGTGCCAGTATCAGCATTAATGCCTCTAGGGTTATGTTGTACCAATACAAATGTGTTTCTTTCCCTCTGAGCGTTTCTCATGAATTTCTAATAGAAGCACTTTTGTTATTTTTCTTAATATATTCAGGCAAGTTGGCATTACTTGTTAGTACATTGACATTGATTTTTGCCATCAAAATATCCATATTTTTCTAACGTTACAAAGGTAATAAGGTCTTGTCCTTGATTCCAATAAAACTATTGGCTTGAAATTTAGATTTTCAAAGTATTTCACTGAGTGCCCTATTAAGGGTTAAGGGTCTTTGCTCAGGGACCCAGATACCCCGTTTACACTACCCTTAAAAAACTGAGCCGAGACCGGTCCGAGCTCAGTAACTGAGATAACTTGTCGTGTGTGAACGGAAACAACCTGAACTGAACCGAGATAGACATAACCGGACCGCGCTAACTGCAGACCAGTTCCCGNTATATATATGCTGTCCAGTTTAATTTCTTATATTTTATATTATTTTTTTATATTATCTCATATTTTCAGTTTCATCAATCTCTTTGTTAATGTCAAGGTAAATTTGTTGTGAATGACACCAATGTTTGAACAAAATGAACCCTCTGAATTTAACCCATCCCCTCGGGGAGCAGTGGGCTGCCATTGTGCAGCGCCCAGGGAGCAGTGTGGGGTTTACCTTTATAGGGCAGATTACCATTTTTGATCCCTTGCATACCCCTTACAAATGGAGTTCTCCCCCCAGAAGCACAAGATCTATATCCAGCCATTCAGCAAAGATACTGCTACATGGCAGTACATCTTATTATGGCGTTTGACCAATTACATGAGCCCTTGAATGATATATTACGCACTGTAAATTAGGTTGGAAAAAAAAAGTTAATAAGTCAAGAAAAAAAATTTAAAAAGCTAATTGAAAAGTTAATTAATAAGCAGAGTTAACAATTATATTTAGGTTTATAAACTAAAAAATATAAGTGCCAGTATCAGCATTAATGCCTTTAAGGTTATGTTGTACCAATAAAAATGTGTTTCTTTCACTCTTAGTGTTTTCATGAATTTCTAATAGAAGCACTTTTGGTGTTTTTCTTAATATATTCAGGCAAGTTAGCATTACTTGTTAGTACATTGACATTGATTTTTGCCATCAAAATATCCATATTTTTCTAACATTCGAAAGGTAATAAGGTCTTGTCCTGGATTCCATTAAAACTATTGGCTTGAAATTTTGATTTTCAAAGTATTTCACTGAGTGCCCTATAAAGGGTCTTTGCTCAGGGACCCATAGTTGCAGTCTGTGGGAGTGGGGCTCGAACTCAGAACCTCATGATTCCAAGCACAATACCCTAACCACTAAGCCACCACTCCCCAAAGCAGGCATTAGTGTGAAGGGTGTTGTCTAAGAACCCACATGGTCAGCTCTTTCCCCCCAGCTGGGATACAAACCCAAAGCTTCCTATTTTGCAGGTTGGGTGACTTACTGCTTATACTAGCCAGCAGCTAACGCCAATAATCTCACATACTGCAAACTAGTTCAAACATTAGACTTGTGGCTGCATTGTTGAACAAATGAACCTAGTCCATGTGAAGAAAATCCCCATAGTCGTAGAAATGTAACACCAAGATATAGTATAGGGAAGACAGTTTACCAACTCTTACTGTGAGAAGTAGCTTTGTCCATTGTAAAAAGTGGTGTGGTACTAGAAGGAGAATCACATCTACTCACAAGAATAATTTTTCTTATAGACAAGCAATGTGAAGCGTAGTATTGCAAAAGCACCACTTGGATTCTGACCACAGAGGTCATTCCCATCCGTGACATGCATCTCACAGCTGAAAGCTTCTGAGACTAAAAAAGTCAAAGAAGAGAAGTCTGAGGTACCTGGCTAGTGACTGAGTATCTCTACACCCATCACTGTAGGAGAGAGTCCACCCTCCATCAGGAAAAGATTGCACTCAAGTTTAAATACAAACATAGACAAATTATATGTTAAATTATTTCACAGTTAGATGAACCTGAATTGTTTTTTGTATGGTATTGGGCTGATTTTCAGTGAATATGTTTTACTTGTGTTTTGAAATCACTGTTGTGAATTAGTGTTTACTAGATAAAAATAAATAAACCAAAATGAAATGTCAGCCAACAGGAATAATTTATTGGTCCATTGTTCAGTGTATGTGCTCCTTGAACTTTGACACACAAATAATCATGTCCCTTAGGTCTATTTAGGTGCTTGGTTTCTCATTATAAACATGAACCTTCTTTACCTTTGGTTTATTTATAAAACTGGTTTGGATCTCATCTCTGTCTTTTAAATGACTGAATTTGCATCATGTGTCAAACTCAACCTTTTACAGCAGCAGCAGTTACACTTCTGAATATTTCAGGTCTGGATGGAGGCATCATCACAGATCTTCTTCTCCTACAGCCTGGTTATTGGAACTCTGAGTGTTCTGGGAAGCTACAATCACTACAACAACAACTGCTACAAGTACGTCCCATCCATTATCCGCTGTACTGACGTTTGGAGGAATATTGATTCATATTATTTTTATCTAAATCATAAGCTTCATGAACTCCTTGGCTGTTCTTTTGTTGACCCACAGGGACTGTTTCTGGCTCTGCCTGCTGAACAGTGTTACCAGCTTCATAGCTGGGTTTGTGGTTTTCTCTGTTCTGGGATACATGGCTCAAAAACAGGGTGTGACTGTTGACAGTGTGGCTGAATCAGGTATATGTTTTGTTTTTAGTTTTAAACGTTATGCATTGATCTTAATATTTAGTTTAAAATTGTAAATTGCTTTAAAAAGTCCTGACGAAAGGTCTTTATAACTACCATATGTGAACAAGTCTAGAGGGGGCCATCTTAAATAAGCAGAGTAAGAAAATTATTATTGTTGTATTCTTTGAGAAAAAAGAAACAAAAATTACACAAAAAACTACAGAAGCACATTGCATTGACCAAAGAAAAAAAATTTGACAGCTTATTTCATAATTACGAGATCGGTATCTCGTAATTACGTGATAACATCTCATAATTACCAGATACTGATCTCATAATTATAAGATCTTATCTCATAAATACGAGATACCGGTCTCGTAATTATGAGATCTTATCTGGTAATTATGAGAAAAGATCTCATAATATTAAGATCATATCTCATAATTACGAGATCGGAATCTCATAATTATGAGATAAGATCTCATAACTATGAGCGACAATCAGTATCTGGCAATACTTTCTTACCCTTTCATACTATTAAGATCTATTCTCATAATTATGAGATAACATCTCATAATTACGATATAAGCTCTCTGATGTTTTTTTCTTTGGTGATTGCAATACAAACCCTGTAGGGTTATTTTAAAAATGTTTTATCAAACCATAACTGTATGATAAGGATATTTTCAGAAAAATAACAATTATAACAATATTAAAACATATATTGTTTAAGATTTATACCCTTCATGAATAAATATTACCAATGCTTATCACTAGAAATGTATCAGTATTCCACCAAATATGTAGACAGTTAATCTCTGCTAATTCTTTTTATGTTTCATGCCTGTTTGTTATAATCGAAATGCTGTGTGTAAAATTTGGTGGTTTCATCTGATGTAAAATCATGAGAGATTTAAATTAACTGCTGCATAAATAAGGAGAAAAAAAAACACCAACTAATGAATAATAAGGCTTTAATCAAATTGCGTGACTTTTTTTGGTCTGAAAATCTGATTAGATTAGATTTAATACTTTAGAAAAAATGATAAATGTTCAAAAATGTGATCCCGTTAGATTTCAAATAAAGATTTACCATGTATTCCTTTAATATGACCCTGAAAAAAATATTTGGAATGGGCTTAATTTTCTTGTCTCAAAAATAATTCATGCAAATTATGCATTAAATCTATAAAGCCATGAAGGATGTGTCTGGGAGAAAGGTACAAAACCTTCTAGATACTCTTAAGCTTAAAGTTACTCATACACCTGTCAGGTTAAGATTGAATGCAAACTATCATTCTAGACATGTTTGCTTTTGTCCAGAAGAGAAACTGAAAAAATACAACTCAGTTCTAGTCATGGGGGAGTGCTGGCTTAGGGCATAGGGCTTGGAATCCTGAAGTTGTGAGTTCAAAACCTACTCCCACAGACTGCTACTCTGGGTCTCTGAGCAAGACCCTTAACCCCACACAGCTCCCCTGACGCCCACTGCTTCCTAAGAGGATGGGTTAAAATTAGAGGGTTAATTTCTCCATTGTAAGATCAAATGAGTATTTTTTCCCCCCCTCCAAGTTAAAAATCCAGTTCTGTTGAGAGAGCAAAACATTAGGGTGATGGAAAGGATGCTTTCTGACCTACATAAAGCTCATCACAAAGATAAATAATGAAAATATCTGGGTAAAAGTCAGAAGGGTTTTATTGCTATTAACAGCAAGAGATTAGTCCTATAGTTATTGAGGATGATATAAATAATATAAAAAAAATCCAACATTTTATAAATATATATATAAAAAAACTCACATTTTTATTATATTACTTAATAGGTGGCCATTCCATTTCCTATCACACGTAATCAGATAGACTTAATGAAAATGATTTAACCTAATTGTGCAGGAGAATTGAAAAATTTGGAGCTTAAGTTTGGCTACAAAATGTAATTAAGACATTGTGTTCACATAAACAATAACCTAATAATTTATTTTTACTTCAATTAGCATCCAGGAATGGGCGTGTTTTGGTGGAGCAGTGATTAGTCCTCGACGTGGCAGATCCGGATTTGAATCCGGCTTGAATCTTGCTGCATGTCTTTCCCCCTCTCTCATACCCCCTTTCCTGTCAGCCTACTGTCCTAAAAATTAGCCACTAGTGCCAAGAGAACTAAAAAAAAAAAAAGAAACTCAAAGAAAAAAAAGTTTCTAGGAAGATAACTTAGCTGGTTGATACGTTGCGTGTATTTTCTTCCATGCTGTGTACTACATGAGCACTGATTGTTTTTATGTATCTCTAATGGACAGGTCCAGGTCTGGCCTTCATTGCTTACCCTCAGGCTACAGCTATGATGCCTTTTCCACATTTCTGGACTGTTTGCTTTTTCCTGATGCTGATTTTACTCAGTGTTGATACACATGTAAGAAAGTAGCTTCACCGTTTACCTACAGTTTAAAAAGTTAGAATTTCAGTGATATAGCTTCACTAATTATTGAACAATTAATCTCTTAAAATTAAATGCAATAATCAGGGTGATGTCTCTACTGCATATTCCTTTGTCTCCAGTTTGTGACGGTGGAGAGTGTGATCACTTCAGTCTGCGACTTATCTCCAGATTTTTTTCATGTCCCAAGAAGACGTGAGATCTTTGTCCTCATCCTCTGTTCATCCTTTTTTCTCTTACATTTGCCTTTGGTCACTCAGGTAAAAAAATAATTAAAAAAAGGAAACTTTAAATCTTTCAAAGTTGTTCTTTTTATTTCACTTTGTTGAAATTTTCTCCTGTTTGTTTCAGGGAGGACTTTACATATTCCAGCTTATTGATTACTATGCTTGCACCAGAGCATGTCAGGATTTTATGAGTGTATGCCAATGCCTTGCTGTGGCCTGGCTATTCGGTAAGTTCATATTATTTAGAAATGACTATTTTACTTGGACCATTGCAGTTATTTGAAAGGAATAAATATGGACCAAATGTGCCACTCTCAAGGTTTATTTGCAAACTTGAAATAATATTACCACAGTATTATTATTTCAGACTTTAAAACATATCAGGAAAACTTAAGTATGTTTATTCAGAGGGAGAAGAAATTATTGATATTTATAAAATCCCACTGTGACAATTTCTTGGTTTCTCTAACTGATGCTGATCTTTTATCAGGAAGTGATCGCCTTTTAAGTATAATTGAAGACATGACGGGACACCGACCATCTTTTTTCTTTAAATTTTGCTGGAAATTTGTCATTCCTCTGGTGTCAGCGGTGAGATATATATATATATATATATATATATATATTTTGTTTTGTATATATCTGTGGTTTTAACCACAATACACCTAAACAACCCTTTTTATTCCTTTTCAGGTTTCCTTTGTTTTGTATCTGGTAGATTATCAGCACCTGAAGATAAATAACTCGTATGTTTACCCTGACTGGGCGTACGCTCTGGGTTGGATCATGTCTATGTCCTCAGTTCTTATGGTGCCACTGTGGGCCGCTGGACAGCTTTTTTTCACAGAAGGAACCTTCAGACAGGTTGGTCCTCAATTCACTTTTCCATTTGAGATTAAAAAATGGAAAATGAAATAATTCAGCATTAAATCAATAGAAACCAAAAAGTTATTTAACATCGCGCCATAACATCTGAAACCCACAATTGAAAATTCATAGCATTGCTTCAACATTTTCATAGTAGTTAAAAGATAATATTTCTCCTTGAACGTTCTTAAATTTTTTCACACTACAAGCAAAAACTACTTTATAATATGTTATTTTTTGCTTGAGGTGCATATTTTATAAAAATAAAGGATGTTACTTATGTGTTCCCTTTATTTTTTGAGCAGTGTATAAATATTTATTTTCATGGTTTGATGCTGAGAGCTCTCCTTGCCTACTCCAAGATCAGCCTAACGCTTGAGGGGCGTCAAGGGTTAACCTTTTATCAGCCTCATTTTGCAAAACTCTTGCCTATTTTGCATACCCAAATGGAAAAGCAAATAACTTAGGAACTATAAGCCCAACTTACATGTGCAATACATTATTTGAAAGATAACACCTTCTAGTTTCTGAATATATACATGAAAAATTAAACACAGCCCAAGCTGCATTGGTTTAAACATGCCTAAAAGTTTTTTTTTTTTTTTTTTTTATTCTCAAAAATAATATGTCTTTTTTTAACAGCAGTAATAAAGTCATGCTTGCTTGTTGTGGCTGCTTTGTCATGTTTACATTTTGACATGCTGCTATATCTGGGTTAATCGTGCTATGGTGCTCACTGTGTCCATAAAATGAACATAGTGGTTGAATTGTGGAGAATCCAACCTTCCCAACAATGTCTAACATGTCTACATTAGCAATCATTTTACTGGTGTAATTTTCATGCATTCTGAATTATTATTTGTAAACCCAGATTTTGAGAGGTTAAAAGCTCACAAGGCACGTCCAACGCTCGATATGCATAATGATGCGTTCAGAAAGAACATTTCCCTTTCTTTCTAATCTGATGCTTTTCTCCTGTAATAGGTCACAAGAGAGCCCTATATTCTGATTTACCAGTGACAATTATCACAACCTTAAACAGAAGACTTTAAGATTGTAATTGGCCTATTCATGTTTCCTTAAACTTGAAGTGAAAGATTATCTAACCTATTCTGACCAATGGGGAGTTCCCCAAACAGTGTAGAATGTCCAGTCATAAATCTCATCCAGCTAATCCAACTTCTAGCTTTTTTTAAATCTTTTTTTTTTTAACTCTAAACTCTATTTTATCTTTTAAATAAATTTAATTTCTAACATATATATATATATATAATATATATAACACATATAACATTCATATATATATATATAGCACCAACAGTTTTGTACAAAATCGTTTAGATATTTATACATAAAGGTTTTTAAGTGTTGCTTTTTAATAGTAATCTTTTTTTAGAAATGTTACTCACTGGTTTTTTCCTGATTAAACTTTCAGCGTTTGAATGTGCTTTGCCAACCAGCTGAAGATCGCCGTGGACAGAAAACCAGGGGAGTCCAGCAGAGCAACTCTGAAGGCTTGATATGAACTTCAAAGTCCAACATAAACCTCTCATAATAACAGTCCTGTGATAAAAGAAATATGACCTTTTCTTGTGAAATGTTAAAGGTTCTTTTAGTTTCTCAAACTAATCATGTATTGTGTCTTAGCATTGAGTCGGAAAGATTTGAATGTGAGAATGACATATTGATTCTTTCCTGGTAATGCAAAGTTAATGCAGCAGATTTGCTTTTAAGGGAGATTCTAATTGGTTTATGTTGATCTGAGCTTTTGTAAACCTTTAATTATTGAGATGACAAGTTTTTCAGTCCTATAGTGGCCTACATGTTGAAAATAGATACTTATGTAGCTCAATTATCTTTGAGTCCTACAAATAATATTTGGAAAATAGTAAATTAAAAGCAGTCGGAAATTTTTGCCTTATTTCTGCATTTTAATGTATTTTCTTTAGGCTTTCGTTTAAATGTGATGTCACACCCTATATTCCCCTTACTTGTTGCCAAGCTGCTGCTCCAGTAAATTACATCATATAAAATGTAGCTGTTACCAATCACAGTAGGTCGGAGGTCTTCAACACGGGGTCCGCGACCCCTAGGGGTCAAGATGTACTGCTTGGGGCTCACAAAAGTTTTGGTTGATTACTTTTTTTTTTTTTTTTATTCCCCCCTGCAATTTTGTTCCACTAATTGAAATGTCTTTAAATCTACATTAACATGAAATCAACACACTGTAGTAAACAGATAAATGGAGGCAGAAGTCTTTCAGTCATCAATGCTCACATTCAGCGACACACAGGAGCTCTTTCAAGCTGGGCACCGTTTCATTCACAACACCTGTCCCATCAACCAGGAATCAGAATCAGAAATACTTTAATAATCCCAGGGAGAAATTACTTTCATTACTTTACTCCATCTGCAATAGAGTGACTATAGGACCAGTTTGATATAACACAATTTCATACAATATATATAATTAGGGTCACCGCTCCATCTCGCCATCAGTTCAGGGGTCCATAGCCTGGAAAACGTTAAAGAACCCTGAAGTAGGTCTTTAGAAACGCACCATGAACACCAAAAAAATAAAACCTGTCTCTTAAATGATGCCATCTTATTATACATTTTAACGAGAAAAAATGAGTCAATAAAAAGGTACAGCAAGTTATTTTAAAAGCTGTCAAATAACAGAATAAACATGAATCCTTTGCTGCACTGTGGTTCAATTCTCTAAAATCACTTAACTAATCTTGTTATTGCCCAAAGTAACTTTGATTTCTGCAATACAAACAAAAGCAAAGGTGGACAGTCGTGTTTTACACCACAAATCACACGACAATCACATTAAAGTTTCATGTTTATTGAATTGGAAATGAGTCTACAGTGAATAGTTAGATCGATCATCCTAAACTGGACGTGTTTAAAGACTGGAGACCGATAAGTCAATCTGAGCTAAGGTCAGTTTAGCTAAACATCTTTTTTTAGGAAGTCGGCAAACCAAGAGTCCAGCAGAAATTTCTCTCATTTCTTTTGGAAAAATCCCATAATGGAAGCTTGTTTAGTTCCTTTGTTTGAACTTGCTGAAGATTTCTTGTGAGATTTTTTCTCATCATCTTTGCTGCTCGATGTCGTCTTCGCTTTGATGCTTGCATGTGGAGCTTGTTTGGTGCTTTGAAAGTCATCTTCTGTTTCAGAGTAAGATTCGCTCACATATCCTTTTTCCGTCACTGTAGAAAAGAAATACTGCAGTTAAAATTCAATGCAGAATTACAAATTTAAATAATTAAACCTGCTTTAGGCAGAAAATTATTCAATGTCTATGGCAATATAATTTATTCTGTTAGGGGTATATAGTTTTTCTGATACTTCAATATACATTACAGTCCATAATTGCAGCATTTTTCATTGATCCGACATTCCAGGATTTATGTGTTTTTGTTTTAAAGAAAGTATTTTTTAAATGTTATATTAGAGCGGTTTTATAAACATGGCAAAAATAATTGTCACTCATACAGGATTCTGTAGTGGTTATTCTTCCTGAGGCTTTTATTTTAATATTAATCAATATTAAAGTTATACTGCAATGACCTTTTGACCTTATTGTCCAGCCCAAAACACAGGTTATTTTATTTATCAATCATTTTCAGAAAACAGAAGATTTGCAAAAGCTACATCAACCAAAAACACAACCTTCATTTATTTAAAAGATCACTTTTTATATTTATACTTTAAACTCTCACAGACACATATCGCTGTTACTGAGTTAAGTCTTCTGTTTTTAAGGCATAGCAGAAAAGGTTCACTATGAATTAGGTGCTAAAATATATTTAAAAAAAAGTTAAATACGAGTATGGTACTAAAATTGTTTCCCAGCTCAGACTTTGAATGAAAATCCTGTAAACTAGACACAGCATTGATTAATAACTAAACAGATTGATGAAAATAAAATGATGGATGGAGGAATGGATAGATTGGTTGAAAGAACAGGGATCAGTGTATAGGTCAGTAGGAAAAGTACTGGATGGATAAAACAGAACCAACAGATAGATGTAAATTGTTAGACTGATAAGGGAAGCTAAATGGATAGATGAAAGGATGGCTGGAATAATAAGACTGATGCAAAAGATAAAAATATTAAAGGATGGATAACTGAATAGATGGTTATATCACTGAATGGATGAATAAACAAAGAGAAGATGTAAGCAATTAAAAGGTGAATCATTTAATAGTATGGTATAAGATATAGTGGAAGGGAATAAATACTGAAATCATAAATGTTAAGCCATAATCTTTTTGCTTTTCTAACCATTGAAAATATTTCAGTCCAACTTTGTTCTATTTCAAACTATGCTGAAAAACCTATCAAAAGACTAAGGTCCGTTTTTAACCATCAACATTAATGTTCCATTAAAGCCTCCTGATGTAAAAGGAGGGCTGGTTATCCTCCCGCAAATGTGTGTCACATCTGCGTTCACTGTGACATGCAGACGACCTGGTTTCTGAGCATAAATCAGCTTTAAAGTCGTAG